TGGTGCCCCTGTTGCGGTTTACTGTGTTTCAGGTAAGCAAGACCTTCTAATCAGAAAAACCTCGGTGTGTTTTCTTTTCTTCCTCTGTTTGGGGAAAAAAAAAAACAACGAACAGGTAACAGAAGTTTTGTGTAAGTTGTAGCATCTCACTGAATGCAGGAAGTTCAGTTGACTACTCTGAATTTCCCATGAAGTTTCACTGTTAATTAAATAGCTTCACCACATTTCCTGCATAGTTTCATTGTGCCGTGTCTGCTGTGTTTTGGTGGATGAGGAGATCAGCCACTCTACTGATGAGGAGATAAGAGTGCGGAGCGCTGCTGGAAGCTATACAGAGATGATAGTTACTTACATTTTTTAGTATTTGGGGTTGAGCAGTTTGGGGATCTGACATTTTCTGGTTTGGTCTGTATGTTTGTATTAAGACTAATGAATTCTTAAAATATTTGCATATTAATATCTCTTCTTCTAATGTATCATTGAAGAGTCTGGTGGACATATAATTACTGGAGCTGGCAAGCCCCAGCTAGAAGTTTGTCTTAAGGATCTGGAAGATCATGCTTTACTCCACTGAAGGTGTTCAGCAATTTTTGAGGAATGCAGTATATGGAATATGACTAGATATTAACCTTTGAAAATATAAAATCTGCTGTTGCTGGTTTCCTTAAAGGAACTTCCTTAAAACAATTTGAAACTTTTCAAAAGAGGACAACTGTATAAGCAGTGACAGGAATTTTTTATGATATTAATCAAAGAGCTTGAAATTAGGATGTAGATTTGAAGATGCAGTAAAACTAACTAGAAACAATGATGGCAACCAGAGATGTGCTGCTGGAAAAGTTTCTCTTGTTGGAGTTAGTAGAATATGTCTGTGCAACCAAGAACACACGGAGAGATCACAAAAGATAGCACTTGTTTTGTTACTGACATACAATGCAAAAAAAGACCACTGTGGGACAAAAGGGACTTAAGAATTCTGATTTTTTCAGCTCAAAGTTTTTCCCCCTTGTCTCTTCCCATCTTCAGATCATTTTGAAGTTGACTGTTTTTCTGGCCCTCAACTCACTGGCCTTTCCTGCCAGCAGAGGATGCCAAAAGAACACGTGGCACCTGCAAATTAAGACTCCAGTGTTGAACTGGCTCTGTACCCATTGTTTTGAATCAAGGTCTTCCTCTGAGGCAGGAATTAATCTCTGGATAAAAGAACTCGTTTGCCGAGGCAGCATGTGGGATAATTTGGTATTTGTTGGAATGCTGTAAAAGAAGGATGGAGAACGGGCCTGAACAGCTTAGATGGCTTTCCATGTCCTCACCATTGGAACAGTACCTGGCCCTTCTTGCATTGCCACCAAACTGCCTTGTAAGTGTGGTGCAGAGCCCTTCCTCTGGTCTTGTTTTTTTGTGTCTCTTCTTCCTTTCTCCCAGTTATAAAAATCTTCAAGAGCATTCTGTAACAGCAAAGGAAACCTAATGCCACCTAAATGCCTCTTTTTGTGTCTCTCCAATCTATTAGCTTCAGCTGATGCTTCCTTCATATCAGAAATGAGCACAAACCGTTGATCTTTATGCACTGGATTGCTGTGGTTTTATTTTCAGCCCTCAGTTGTATCCCTCCTGATACACTGCTGCCTCTTCTCTTCGCATCTTGCATGGAAGCCAGCTTAAGGCTTTGACCAACTGTATTCTTCTCTGAACCTTTTCCCAGTTTTGCAGAAACTGCTGCAGTAAAAAGAAAACCACAGCTGCACTCCGCATTCAAGGTGCAGGCTTTCACTGGTCATGTTTTGTTCTATGTGCGTTACCTTTACTGCACCTGGACACGGAACGCTCTCGTACTGCTTGCTGTAATGCTAGGACTTCACAGTGAGTGGTAGTGATCAGGCCTCGTTACATGTGAAACATAATTTACCCGTACACTCTTTAATCATGCAAACTGTCTTTCATGTGCTATTCTATTGCCTGCTTTTTGGTCACACCAAGTCCTTCTGCAATTTTGCAGAACTGGTCTCATTTTTACCCGCCTGAAATAGTTGCTAGGAAAGCAGCAGTTTGCCAACACTGCCTTATTCAGGTTCTGACAGAGTTAGGGTGCAGAACTTCACAGTAAGCCGTAACTTTTCTACTGCTTAGCCATCCCCTTCTTTTCTCTTTCCTTTCCCATTACGTTTTACCACTGACTTGAGATCTGGCATTGGTGGCCAGGCTTTTCCACAGTTAATCTCTGATATTTTGCCTCAAAATTCCTACCATGGCTGAAAGATGTAAGTGCACAGGCTTGAAGGAGGGCATTCCACCTCCAGAGAACTTTGTAGATTAGCTGTAGTCACGTGTTTCATGTGGGGGGACATGCTGGAATCGCTCTGGGACCCCCAGTCTCCATCCACCATTCTTGCAGGGCTTTTTACATCATCTTTACATCCCTTCAGCCAGTTCAGTGATCTCACACCTCACCTCATGATTAAGACCACAAACAGCACCAGCAGTAAGTTTTAAGCAGTTTATTCACAAGGGCTCTCGAGCCTCCCCCCACTCCTAGCTCATTTACTGTGCAATTGTGATGCAGAGAGCACCGACCAGCTGCAAGCCATTAAAAAACACTTCATGAGCAGCGTGGCTTTATTAGAAATAAATCATGCTAAAAACTGATCCTTAACAGATACAAAAAATTAACAGGTAAGGAAAGGAGAAGAAAATGGGCGTAATATTAAGACCAATGGGTGAATTGAGGATTGGTGTGAAAAATGATACAAAAAAGCAATGAAAAACAGCAGTGCGGCATTAAAGATGAGAGTACAGAGCAGACGAGGTACAGTACATCCTGCTTCAACATTTCTTATCCATATGCTTAGTTCAAATACTGTAACAGTACTGAAAGGCAAAAAAGCACCAGACATTTGATGAGAAAAAGCAAGCGTGAAACAAAATTAGGGAAAAATGAATGCTGGAAGTAGGGAAAGAGTAATCTCGAATACAGTTACTCAACAGAGAAACAACACTTGGAAAAGTTGCTATGTCAACATATACAGACAATACCATTATTCCAGCAGTACGGAAATCATTTTCCTGGTCTGTAACCTCTTCCACGTACAGCACTGCCTGCGTTATCCCCAGAAACGTGCAGGGCCGTGCCCCAGACGCTGAACAAGGCAGCACAGCAGAAGAGGAGGTTATTTCCATCTGGTAACGTGGCCTTCTGGTCATGACAGTTCTACGGTGGGACAAAGCATCATTCAGCTGTGAACATACGAGGGCTGCTCCAAAAGTAATGCCTCCTATTTCACAACGTCGGCCCACGAAGTCCAAGGCAGATGATGGTGACAAGCAGATGCTGGACTTTCCCACCAATATTCCATTTTGTCACAGATGGCAGCAAAGGGGCAGTCCAACAGAATGGCATTTGACAGGGAAGTGTTTATGAAGCAAAGGTGTGGAACTGAATTCTAACATGTTAAAAAAAAGAGACACCCACTGATGTTCATTTATGAGCACAGCATACAGGCACTCGTTCATCACTGGTGAAAATACAGAGCTAACTAACAGAAGTGACTGCTGAAAAAGTGTTTTGTAGCTGAGACCATGCTCTGTTCAAATAGCGTAACTGTGTCTTCATATCTGTTCTCATTTCCACGGAAATAAGTAGGAAGCATTACTTTCAGAGCAACCTCTGTAGTTTGAGTCAAGTGGGAGCAGTATGCAGCTACAGCTGTTCTGCTCTAAGAAAGAATACTTACACCATGGCAAGCCAGACTGCAGTATGCCCAAGCAGAATGCAGCCAAAGTGGCAAAGGTGTGGGCAAGGCAGCCCACAAAACAATTCTGCACTGGAGAAATCAGCAATGTGCTCTCTCCTTACAAGTGCCATAGGAAGCAGACACCTCACTGGTGCATATAGGGCAGAGCTGGTGGTGGCAGAGAAAGACACCAGGTACTTTAAAGCAAGGAAGAACTTTGTCATCTCTTAAAGTTATCAAATCAGAAACTCAGCTATGTCCCAACTGTGCATAGGTTTGGGGTTTTGGTGGTGGGAGAAGTGTCCCACTCTAACATGGCAGCACAGAGAGGTTGTACAATGCAAGGTTTGCATAGATAGCTTGCCCATCCCCAGCTCAAAAAAACCTGAAGAAGTCACAGTTAGGAGTGTTAAGTTTGTGAAGAACGTGGAATCTAAAGAAAAAAAACTCCACTTACAGCCCCTTCCCATCCATCCCAGGCAAGGGGAAAGTGGGGGTCACAAAACATGGAAGTGAAGTCATGGCTATTTCACAAAGCTTCATTGTCTTAAATGAAGTTCATTACCGGCCCCAGTGAAAATATTAAAAATTCACCATCTACCTTTGCACCATTTTCCAGGTTGTTGGTTTTTTTTTTTAGAGTGGTTAAGTGCCTTTTTTATTTAAAAAAAAAAAAAAAAGTTTGTTTTTACATTATTGCTGTTTTACAACAAATCATAGAATCACAGGGGTTGGAAGGGACCTTGAGATCAGCTAATCCAACCCCTGCTAAAGCAGTTCCCTACAGAAAGTCAAGCAGGAAAGCATCCAGGCAGGCCTTGAGTATCTCTAGAGAAGGAGATTCCATCACCTGTCTGGGCTGCCTGTGCTCTTTCATCCTCAAAATAAAACATTTGTTGTATCCATCCAACAACAACATGTCAGTTTCCCCAGAACAACGCAGAAGCACAAAACGCATGTTCTGAAGGGGCCTTTCCTATACCAACTATTTAATAAACAAGAAAAAAAAAAAAAGTTCTATCACTTCTGTCCCTACTGTAAATGATTACTTCATTTTCCAGAAGGCAGATCCTTTCAATAAATATCAGAGTAACCTCGGAGATGCTGAAGTTCCAGAGATACAAGCAGCAGCTGTGTGCAGTTTCTCCTGGAGTTCCAATGCTGCCTCTTGTTTCAGTCCAGTGAGATGATGTCAGGAGCACTGCCGCTGCTGCTGGTTATAACTGCCGTCTCGCTCCTGTTGGAGGAGCTAACGTGTGTGTTGCTCTCGTGGTGACTGGTCGATGTGATGATGCTGCCAGGCGTGTTGCTTGTTAAGGTTGAGGTGAGACTATCCAAAAACATAGGAGGACAGTACTGCTTGAAACAAACAATGAAAAATGAAGAGACTAACTGCACAAGGGAAATGTATGCTCTAAAGATACATCTTCCCTACAACAAGCACAACACAGTGACTAGCGGGACCTCACCAGTGCATGCAGAGCAAGGAGAGTTCTTCCTTCCCCCTCCTAACCTGCTAGTCTGAGCCTTTACTGGCACATTAGGAAACACTATCATGACCACTATCAGGACCTCCCAGCACAGTGTCCAAATGGAAACCTGTAATGAACAGTGTCCCTCAAGGCTCCATGCTGGAATCGGTACTACTGGGATCAGCACTACTTGTGTCTTAATGACAAGGATAATGGCACCGAGCTGAGTGGTGCAGGTGACACAGCCGAAGGAGGGGATGCCATCCAGAGGGACGTGAATGGGCTGTGAACTGAACTGTTCAGCAAGGCCAAGTGCAGCGTGTTGCTCCCCGATTACAGAAATTCTGGGCACGCAATCAAGGTACATGCAGGGAACAGATTGAGAGCAGCTCTGCAGAGAAGGGCTTGAAGTACTGTCAGATGAAAAGCAGTGTGCACCTGCAGTCCAGAAAAGCCAGTCATGCTGGACTGCATCAAAAGGAGGCCAGCAGGTCAAGGGAGATGATTGTCATTTTCTACTCTGCTCTCCTGAGAGCTTCAGGCTGAGTACTACCTTAGTTAGGGAGGCAGTATTCCCCTCTTGAAGGCTATTGACTGTCTGTGTAAGAATCTAATTATAATCCAGTCATTTATGCAAACGAAAGCAGAAGCACCAGCTAGTTACTTTTGACCTACAAAACTTCCACTATAGCAAGGCCAATGGATTTTATGTGTTACACTGAAGGACTTGTAAAAACGTTCAGTAAATGTGCCCAAACCAGTGACAATACAGTCTTTACAACTCAACCTACAATCATGAAAACCACCCGCACTGAAATTTTTACATAAATTAATCTGGCTTACAGATACACAGTATAAACTGAAAGCATGAAAGACATAATGGCTGTGTTCATGTCAGCACTGTGCAAGTACCTGGTTTGGTAAGACAAAGCAAACTACCAGTAATTTGCTGTGCCCGGGTTGATAGTATCATTAGCAGAATCCTCCTTTAATACATTTTTCCTCACTACCACCTGTTGGTAAAATGTGTTCTGCTGTTCTGTGGTTAGATCTAAGCAAGTGGACTGCAAATACGATGTGAGGGACAACATCCTGACCGTTACTGAAGCAGTGTTTCATAGAAAACACACTTGGAAATTAAGCCCTTGGCAGTTAAGAAACATACCTGTGATTCAACTGGAATTAGTGAAAGGAAATCCAAACCTAGAAAGAAAAGAGGGATAATAAACTGATGTGTCTTCCTTCTCTTCACACACAACAAGTTTAAGGAATTTCTGCTGTTGTCGTAGAACTGATTTTTGCAATTGCTATACAGTTTCTAAATGAAATATACCACTGTGACACCACTCTCAACGACTTCAGGCAGCAGCAAAACACGTTTTCTAGTACAAGTGGCTCTTTTAAGAATGAGGATGACAATGATGTATTATTCACTGGATATTGCAGGGTGGTTCAATGTGGTTGCTTAGATGGAGGTTGCCATTTGGAGCTGTTGTTCATAACACAAGTTTCACTGCATATTGTACCTGACTTGGCCAAACTGGGACATGAAGAGTGTCATCACATTAAGGATGCTGGAATGAAGTAAAGTCACAACATGCACAAGTCCAAAAACAAGCAGCAGGTCTCTTCCTCCACCCATAGGCAGCCAATAAGGAAACATTTCTAATATCATCCCCGTTTTGCGTCTAGACAAATAAAAGGAATGAAGAAGAGGAAACTACAAGTAGTTCAAGGTAATCCTCTATGAGCAGTGACAACCAGCGCCCATCCTCTATGCCATTAGCACGTAAGCATTTAGGGCAAGATGTTTAAGAAACACAAAATCAATGAGAAATCGCAGCCATTTCTATTTCAAAATCTTGGCCTTGTGTTTGCTATGGCAACAGAAAGAAACGGTAAGCTTTCTCCCTCCCTCTCTTGTTAGCATAGATCTGTTTCAGCCAGAGGCATCTCTACTTTTCTCCATTACAGAAAATTAAAGAAAAATTTTAAAGGAGATGTAAGATCAGCTGCTTTTACAGAATTCACAGCTTTTGTTCATACGCACGCTAGAACTTCAGTTGGCAGAGATGAACAAAGTTCTAGACTTCCATTCTCTCAGCTTAGTCTTCTAACCAATTTGGAAAGAAACTGAATTTCTTAACAAGGGAGAAGTGGAGGGAGGGAGCAGTGAGGCAACCAAAACGGACAGAGAAACGAGGGGAATGATATCCATCCCAGTGCCAAACTGAAAGAAGATGAAAAAAAACCCAGAGATGCGGCAGGGGAGAAATGGAGACAGGCAATGGAGCGGGGCAGGGAAGGACAGGAGGCCCACGTGACACCTGCTGTCACAAGTCACCATTTCCTGGGCTCTAGGTTCACTACAGCCGACAGAGAACCCCCAGAGTCCCTACACACAGCGTTCTTTTCAAGGAGCCAGGATAGAAAACAATCAGTATCCCCACCTTTTGTCTGATATTTAGCAGCAGTGTTGAAGAATACATCATAGGCATTTAGGGTTTGTCTAGGTAAAGAAAGTCAATAGAGGTCAGCTTACATATTGTAGCTCACCTTAACCTTTTTCATACAGTCTAGACAGAGCACCACTAGAATTAGCTAGCAGAAATCTCTACATTTAGGGCAGGGATGAGTCAGTGCCATTACAATTCTCAATCTTAAGTAAGCAGCTACTCTCCCTCACTTCTACAACAAGTAACAATCAGGTGTTTACACACAGTCTAATTGGGTATATCAAGGAGTGCTTCTGGCTGCCATTCCAGAGTGCCAATTTGAGGGTGTACCCCAGAAGCAAGGTTTTTCACATCACTGTTGGAAGTGCAATCTGAAACTGGAAGGACAGCTTGTACTAGACTCGTCTAGGCATCATATCAGGGCAATGCTATATACAATCCTGTCCCATCTAAAGAGGTCAATTTCCGACTCTTACCCACCCCACATATAACAGTCTCTCAGAACGCGCATTAAAAATAATTAAATATTTAATTAATAATTAAAAATAACAACACCACCTACCTGGCAAGTCTGAGGAAATGCTGGACATTGGTGGGTGGTGGAATGGCACAGGGTAGTCTGTTAACGACGGAGGAATAGCAGCTGTATCAACCGTCGTCACACTGGGCACTCTGACAGAGGATGGCTGATACATAAGAACCCTGTTTTGAAGGCACAGCATGTTACAACCAACCTTGCATAGATTACAGAAGAGACGTTATGCACTCTCATTCACAGTCACCACATTACAACACAGCTATGGCGTGGCTACTCACTACACAGTATTCCACTCTAATTTCCTTTCATAACAGTCTTCATAACAACATCACATCTTGGCTCTCAACAGCAGCTGTGACATAAGAGCAAGATTAAAATTAAGTACAGTGCTGGAGTCATTCAGAACAATCCAAGTTGGCACATATGTGCAGAGCACTCTGTGGGACAGGTGGCCTGAGCCAGGAGCAGGACATTCCAAATCCTTCTGCTGCTCTCAGCACTAAGCTGTGGCACTAAGGATGCAGCTGACCGTGATTCAGCCCCTACAGCACAGACTTCCAAGCCTGGAGTTCAATCTCTGACTTACCATGACCAACAGCCAAACCTAAGCTAAGTTCAGCTCTCAAGCACACAGCCCACCACAAAACCCTTCTGTATCTAACCTCCTGCATACTTGCAGCACTGTCAAAGACCACGTAACAGGCAATGTGGCACCCACCACCTGCACCAAGTGTTTCATACGCTTCCTGTCAGGTAACAACAGCAGTCCCACTTCCCACTTGCAGCTGTCCTGTATTTCTCCTTTCAACTCACCAGCAGTGAGTTGCAATCCAATCTTCCCCCATAAACTACTGTGCAGTCACACTACTGGTTTCAGACGCTTGGATTTCAGACCCTCAAGCACCACCTGAACATCAGCTCTCTGCTGTTGCTGCCAAAAGGCCACCTTGCAATAGCACCAAAGCTGGTATTTGAGCAACATTCTTCACAGGAGGCAAGCTTTCTCCAAAAGCCTGGGCCTAAACTCTGATTTCAATAAGGAAAGCATGCTATTTCCATTACCAAACACTGAGGAAAATGAACTGGTTAGATAAACAAGAGCACTCAGTCCTACAGTTACGACTGCAGGCAGTCACCTTGGACAAACCCAGGAATTTGGAAAGAATCTTGACATCTTCTGGAATTTCATTACGAGGTGTTTGTAGCTATTTTTTAAATCAAAATAAGAAAGTCTCTTGGGGAAGAACTCCCTCACAGCATTTACAACAAGCAACAGTGTTTCACCGCTACTACTGGAGGTAGCTGATTAACTGTTGCTTGCCAAAGACTACAGGTTGCTGCTGAGTACAGACAGCACAGCACAGCTGCTCATCACTTCAAAAGGCAGCAAAACAGAAAGGTTTGGTTTTATTACTGTTGTTTTAGAGAAGCCACCAACGCTGAGAGAGACGCACCTTGTGCATGCAGTTGGACTAACCAGAAGGCCAACATACAGCCAATACTTCAAGTCGCCACACGGAGCAGTGCCTGCTGGAGAACCTAACCAATGCCCTCTTCTCCCTACTTGGCTGGTTGTGCACCTGTCCTGCAGCCTAAGAGCAAGAACAGTGTGGAAACCACAAAGAGTAGCTATAGCCAAACTGCACAGATCACAGCAAACAGAAGGCAGAACAGAAAAGCAGTCAATTAACTCTGCGTGACTCAGGGCAGGGAATTCAGGCAGCTATAGAGATGAGGGGACTGACAGAGGACTTGGGAAGCCATTGGCTGTGTTAACCAAGGCACAGAACTGAACGACAACCAAGGCCAGCAAATGTGACCAAGACATTTCAGATTCTAACAGTGAGACGCAAAAAAAAAAAAAAAATTACTGCGTTGATTCAAAACAAGGAAGTGCCTTCCTCCCCTTCCAAGCTTGAGAAGATGGGGAAAACATGCAACACAGCTCTGTTTCCTGGCACCAGAGCACATGATAAAGGGTAAAAGGCAGTGAGAAAAGGCTTTAAGATGACAGTAACTCAACAAGAATGCATGAAGCTCCTGCAATTGGGGCAATCTGATTTCTAAGAGAGTTCTGTACATTAGCTTAATTGGTTTCCTTTTCTACAGATAAACATCCCTGCAAACACAGCTTCAGTGCATCTTCTGAGAGACACAAACCTATGCAATAAAGGTTTGCCTGCACAGAGATACTGTAGCAATATAACCTTCTGAAAAGGGAGGCCTAGAAGTTCTCCGAAAGTTCAGAGCTGGATCCCAAGGAGCGTGCAGAGTCAGTATGTCTAACATGAGTTTATCTGACACACAACAGAGCACCAACTAACTTCAAAATTGACAAACCCTTTGGTTGGGCTTCCTTGCGTTTCAGACATGAATATGCACTTCCTTTTGGCTGGAGGATCTTCCTCTTCATCAGAAGAGCTTTCTATAGTCAAGTCAATAACATCAACTTTCTTCTTGTTTACCTCACTGGCCACCGTCACAGAACACGGTTTGCTAACAACACTGGAACCTAAAACAGAAAAACAAATTATTATTATTATTTTTAAAGCTGCTGCCATCAGCAGTTCCAATATGCAATAGAACCACTACCTCAAATCCTGTATTAGCTCATCTTTAAGACCACTACAGAGGCCAATATGACTCAGGAACCGTTTTATTAGTGGTATAATGCTCAGTTTTCTCAATCTCCACTTATCAGTTTTAGGCCACAACAAGAACAACAAAAGTGTTGTTATAAAGAACAAAAATAAAACCTACACCTGCAGAGATATAACCTTTTGTTTTTACATTAAATGAAAAGGTGAGAAGAATTAAGCACACCCCCCACAAAACAAAATCCATGTCCATATCCATCATCCCAGCTACAAACACCAAGCCTCCAATGCATCAAGCCTTTTAGTTGATTTACCACCAGTATCCATGATGTACTCACTTTCTATTTTGGTGCACTGTGGACTTGAGACTTTAACAGCATCCTTTTTAGGCCTCATAGGGCACCAGGAACCATCTTCCTGGAATTTAATCTCATCCACATCTGAACATTCATTAAGGATTTCCATAAAGAGTCTGTAAAAATGAAGTGGTTTTGTCATTTCGTTCCAGACTTTTGCTAAGTGAAAAGGAGACAGCTGAGAGACTACGATCAACATCAACCAACACTTGCTCTCCCTGGTTTATCTCACCTGACAACCTGCAGTTGCAGCCTTCCCCAGCAAGCACACATGAAAATCCAGAGTATTCCAACCCACCCATCTTTTACTCAACATTACTGCAATTCAGAGATTTTCACAAAGTAGAAGCCATTGTCCTTCAAATCAGTTTTAAACTTTAACTCAAATTGTGTCAAAGTTGATAGCTTCAGAGATAGTCTCATGTAAAAGGAAGACAGCCTGAGATGTCACATTTGGATTTCTCTAGAGGAGATATGCTGAGGCTCAAAAGTTGGATGACTCCATTAGGAGATTAGCTTACATAGTTTGTTACAAAGGAAGAGAAGCTAAAGCGTTCCAGTGGTTCCTCCCAGCTTAATTTATTTTGAGAAAAAAATGGCTGAGTGTCTAAACTTCAGGTCACAAGCATATCTATCGAGTACATAATGAAAAGCTGGAAATAGTTGTGCAGTCTGCAGGCCCATTCTCTTACCCGTCCAGTATCAGGCTCTCATAAGCTGCCTTTTTGTCACAGACAGGACAGATCCACGTGGGCTTCTTTTCATTCATTTGGAGATAGAGAGCAGCATCAAAACACTGCAGGTGTGTGCAAGTGACAGCCCGGCACGGGATTGTCAGTCTCATTTTGCCCAGCTGCAAAGATGCATTTAAAGAGTGTCAGAGAGAAGAGAGTGAAGCAGACCTGTATGGCTAACAATGAAATGCGACAACCAGCAAGGAACCGTCCTTTCTCACTACAAACTCAACACCAAGGTTGCTGCATGCAAATCCACTCCATCAAATCACATACAGTGTACCTGAAGGAACAATAAAGCAGTCCTCAAAGTCTTGATTTGAAACGATCAGACTTTTAATGGACCTACAGCATTACTTCCAGGACTTTGAATTTTGTTAGTGAGACCTGCTAAAGTACCTGCTTTGTCATTTCAAGGTTTTGTGAGCTGCAGTCACATTAGAATGGCATTATACCCGTGTCAGTGTAAGACTTCACTGACAAGTCACAACACCAGTTTCTGCCTGGAAAGAGAAAACCACTTAGCTGTGACTTTGTTATAATTTATCAGGTTATTTCCCAGTTTTAATAGTGGGCAGTAAAAGCAATACCCCAAAGAGCAGACGACCTAAAGTGCTGTTTCTCACTGTGCCCTTTATTTACCCATCACCCCGCCCAACCAGAGGATGCCTCAGTACACCAGACCATTCCATTTAAAGGTCTCAACATACACAACACAAGTAACCAGGTGATTCTGACAGCATCGCAGCCGGGGCATTCACAAGTTCAAGCCTGTTGGTGGAACGCTGCTGCAACCAGGTGCTTGCAGATGCACCTTTCTCCACATCACATCTTAAAGCAGAATGTAATGAAATCCCATGACATCACCAAATCAGGTCTCATAAGAACAACCCAACTCTGCACTACAGATGACAACGCAAACCTGTACACGGCAGCTCCCAGCCTTACTTACAGGGCACATCAGAGACACCCGCAGACTGGTGGTGGCAATCTCACTGTCAGGATCTGCTGTTAGTTTTTCTTTAACTATAAAAACAAATTAAGAAGGTATAGACAGACACCACCGTTTACAACCCTAATATTCATTCTACAGCACATACATTTTGTTTCCAGCTATGTAAAACAACTGAGTATCTAAGAAGCTAGTTTATTAGAAGCTAATGCCAGTAGGAATAGCTTCACTGTTCATAGGTAACGGATAAACAGCACATCATGAGATTGCTTTATGTGCAGCAGATGCATGCTGTATGGTGCATTTCTTAGCCACAGGTTAGCAGGGTAAACTCTACCCAACATGTAAGAAGCAAGAAGAATAATCAAGGGGCGAGGTATGCAGACAAGACAATCAGCAGCACATGCAAGTGAGGAGAATGCATATTTAAGTCATGTATCTGCACCTCACTGCCCACGACATTAGGAAGTGCTCACAGCACTCCCTAGCATTTCAGTCTCTCAGTACTCCTCCCTGTGGGTTTGGGACCTGTGCTGAAGCATTAACAGCCACCTCAGAAACAACAAAAGGAACCTTTGATATTCTAGGCACAGACTTTCTTTTCTAAATGCTGCAAGTCTTCTAAGTATTATCAGTTCTGGTTTTAAAAGAGCCATTAACCACCCCTAAGGAAAATTTAATGGGAAAATTAATTTTACTTACTTAGCGCTCTGGAATGATCAGGGTTTCTGATCCCTTTCATTTTTAGCCTCTGCAAAAGCATAGCTGAAGTGAGCTGACGAACGAGATACACAGACATGGAGTAACTCTGCAAAAAGAGTAAGGAAGGATGAGATATTGATTTAATACAGTAATTCTGCTACAACAGATCACTTACACTGTTCTAAGTAAAAACATGCTGATTTTTTTCCTTGGCATTATGAAGGTATTTTGAAAAAGCACTGACAGATGTCTTCACTGCTGCGAAAAAGTCCACACTTTGCCTTAATTCTTCTAACCAAATCAAATATGCAAGCTGCAATTTAACTGCAAAAAAGCCTTATCCTTCACAACTAAGACACAAGGTGGCTTCTTCTTGAAAAGAAGTTAAATGGAAGATACAATTTCTTAAACATGCCGTCTATAAGAGATTCACATTCACACTCCTAAACATCCCCCTTTTCATGCTGTCATTAATGCAGACCTCAAAGACAAACCTGCTATAAAGATGAACATTCTTTCAGGTGCAAACTCCACCTTCAGAGGGCACACAGCTGCACAGGTTGACAGCTGGACTTGATAACCTTTATGGTCTTTTCCAGCCCTAATAATTCTGTGCACTGATTTCTTTGCACCTGTTCTTTGGCTTGCCATTCCCAGGCCAAGTCTCATTACAGCCAGCCTAGAGGAGCAGTACGTGCATTTCTTAGCAAATACTGCTGTTCCTTCCCTCATGCCTCTTGCCAGCTTCCTTTGTTCAAAACTTCCTCTCCTCTGGGTCACCAATGAAGAGAAGAATCTGCAAGCCCCACAACTGCAGAATGGTAATGGTTTCATCCGCAGGACACACAATCTGCAATGCCTTATTTTCACACCCTGCAGTCACCTTCTTATGCCTCCTGTACTAATGTTAAGTGCATATACCACCATGCTCCTGCTTTACCAAGAACAGCCCTTCCCCTGAGGAGCAGATAAAGTGATCAAACTACACAGGAAGATGCTGAGATAAATGCCTTGCTTGCCCTGCCAAGAGCAACCACATATTGTCCTGTTTATTGCCTACAGCATCTCCCTCGTGAGGAAAGGCTGACACCTTCATTCTTTTGCTGAACATAAACTTCCCACTTTCGCTTTAAAATTTTATTTAATTTATGTAGGTTTATACTGGAGCCTTACTTCAAGGATACGATGGCTCCAGACCATTTTGATGTTAAAGGAATCATAGAATGGCCAGGTTGGAAGGGACCTCCAGAATCATGAAGCTCCAACCCTCCCCGGCCGCAGGCAGGGCCACCAACCTCCACATTTAATACCAGACCAGGCTGCCCAGGGCTCCATTCAGCCTTACCTTGAAAAGGTAAGCTACACTGATAGTAAGAGAGTCCAGAAGGACTTCCAGAAGTAACCACAGATGGAAAAACACTGGGTCTTCTACTTACTTCAAGGGTTGTTGCAACAGCTACCAAAATTCTTACCACTTCCCCTTCTTTCTTCAGTAAATTCACAGGCAGATTTCTAAGCAGTCACTTGCCCATTTAGAAGTTTAACTCCTTTAAACTCTAATGACTTCACATTCCTAAATCAGAAGTTCAACTACAGGCACCAGAAAGCAAGACAGGACATTTCAGTCACCCCTTGCTCTACCTCCTGCCGTCTGAAGTCCAGCACGCTTTTCTGCCACCTCTCCATGAAGTCTACGAGTGCACTCCGAAGACACTTCACTTATCTTTCTCCTACCCTGCTGCCCACTCTTGCCAGTATCTGCACTTCTTCCTCAAGCTGCACAAGCTTCCAGGAAAATGCTTCACTGTTAACAACAGGCACATTGCACAGACATCCTGCGTTACAAACACACTGTGGTTCAGCTGAGCACTTCTAAGACACACCGAGCCCAGAAGCAATTGACAACAGTAGCCTGACACCTCCCATCTACACCTCCTCCCAGGAATGTACCCCCTAGAAGCTTTCTGAACAGGAAACTGTACTTGTGTTTAACTCGTAAGTGTAGTTTTAACTCAAGAGAAGTCATTTTCATGTAAAACATTAATCTCAAAAGAATAAAGAGGGAAGCATCAGTTAAGCAGTTCTTCCTATGAAATAAAAACTGTCTTTGCAGAACTATTTGGAATTACTCTGATTGAAAAATACAAAGACCTGAGAAACAAGTACACCCCGTCATGGCACATCGTTCATTTTACAAAGCACTCTCCAGTGAACAGTTGCAAAAGATATTGAGGAAAAAAAAGCTTTTTAAGACATGGCTACGTAACCTCATGTTCATAGTAATGTGTAATGAGGCTACAAAGAAGCATGGAGGCTCCCTTTCTGTTGCGCCTGAACTGTTTTGTATTTACATCACAGAAAGATATGAGTGTTTCTGACATATCTCAGGCACCTTCCAATAGCAAAGCTGACAGGAAAGCTCTCAAAAAAAGCCACACAGCCCTTGGAATTCCACACGGAACTCTTTGCAATCCACACGCAAGCTCTTCACGTTGCTGCAAGCTACCATGGCTCTGGAGCTAGCTTTGTTTCCTGGCACCGACGGTAACTTTAGCCACTGATCACACTACACCCTGCCAGCAGTATCAAGCAGTGGATTAAAAGCAGTGCTAGACAAGGTGATTTAGTCTACTGCCCACATCCTACAAAACAGACAGCTTACCTTTCCAATTTCAGAAGCCCAGGAAATGGAAATCTGGTTCGGCACTGCTGATGACAACCTAACTAGAGAGGTTATATTCAAGGGGCGCCCAGGTCGCTTCTGTTCGATCCCATTTTTCGGTGGTGGAGCATATCCCTATGAGAGAAAAAAAACAAACCAGTGAAAGTACCCCAACAACTTGTTAGCTCTGAACCGATCCTCTTAGGCTGATCTGTGGGAAACAGAAAAGCCTTGAGGTTCTCCAGACTGGAGATCGAAGTCAAAATTTGTGAGAAATATCCGTTGTTTTGACAGTCCTTACTATACATCAACAGTTTTCAAGCAATTTTAAAGGAGTGCTGAAAAGATAAGAGTTTTGATCCAGGCAGGTTTACTGGAGATGTAAACATCAGTGTTGAGGCTTTATCAAAAATAGAAAAAAGTTGTATTGATGCTCCCCCCACACACCCAGCTTCACCTTGCATTAATTACACAGAGCTTCATTAGCAGCAGGCTGTCATCTGCACACTCAGTGAACATGAGTTGTGCACAGCGTACCTGGTACATGTGAGAGCTAAAAGGCTTTGCTGCCAACAGCAGAAGCAAATTAAACTAAATACTTTTAAATTCTTCAAAACTGAAGAAAACCTGGACAGCTTCTCTCTGCATTTTTATTTCATGGTTTATTTCATTTCTCCAGTGGGACGAAGTTAAACTAGTGCCAAGTCCCACACTTTGGTCACAACTACCACATGTCACTGCAGGCTCAGGGCAGAGCAGCCGGAAGGCTGTATGGAGGAAATGGAGCGTGGAGCAAGGTGAGGGTCAGACTCTTCTTCCAAGCAACCGTAACAGGACATGAGGCAACGGCCTCAGGTTGCACCAGGGGAGGTTCAGATTGGATATTAAGAACAATTTCTTCTCAGAAAGAGTGGTTAGGTGTTGGCACAGGCTGCTGAGGGAATGGTGGAGTTATCAGCCCTGGAGGTGTTTAAGGAAAGGGTTGATGTAGCACTTAGGGACGTGGTTTAGTGGGCAATACTGGTGGAAGGTGGGTGATCAGACTAGATGATCTTGGAGGTCTTTTCCAACCTTAAAGATTCTATCCTGTGATTCCCTATATGTCACTAATTGACACACTCAGGAGCCCTTTTGCTTGCTGACAAGCACGCGCTTCCAAGCAGAGAACACTCGTGCTCTGTGAAGCAGCACACGGCCTAATTGCATCTCATCTTGCAACAGTCACCACAAAAGCAAGCCAGTCCGTAAGAGGAACTCAGAGTCTGTTTTGAGTTCAGACAGCCTATGGTCCACTCATCTCAAAATCTTATCTTGCATCAAAAAAACGCCAACCAGAGACCTGCATCGTGCACAGATCTGACTGTCACATTTCATTCAGTTCAAGTGTTGTCCTACACTGGAAACTATCCAGGACCAACGTGCTGAAAAACACGTGTTTAACACAGATAACATGAACATTCACAGCATAACACTTCAAAGCAAGAGTGAAAGAACCAAATTGTGAAAGTATTATCTAACAGCCAGAACTGCTGACTAGCTACTTCACCAGAAATGGTCCAAGAGAGCACACAAAACATGCTCCCCTGTTCATCTAATGATACAGGAAAGCAATTTGGAAAGCTCTTTAGATTTTAGTTTAGCTAGCAGTTTATACACAACAGTAAGCCTTCCATGGGAACCTGATTAGCAGCCTCTTTGCAGGGTGCTCCCTGTCACACCCAACAGCACCACACAGCAAGGGTTCCTAAGACACCCTTCCAGTGGCAGCAAAGAAACACAGGGCTTCAACTGCCAGGCCAGAGCTGCAGGCAGTAACTGCTGATCAATTCTTTTAAAGAACCTTTTGCTGCTCCAGAAGATGAGTGACAGGAGCTGCTAAGAGTCATGCCATGCGTGCTTTATCACACAAGGAGGCGGCAGATGTATAAGGACTGCTAGCTTCACATTTAAAAGAAGGAATGATCTGTCATTTCTTCAAGTCAGATGTAACAACTGCAGTCATTTATGGGATAAAATCCCATCATTTTCACAGTAGCAAGCTGGACCTTTTAGCGAGTTCATAAGGACAAACACAGCATCATTTTAAGGGGGGTAATACTGCACCAAACACAATGACAAGTTCCTTCCTGTTCGGCTCTAAGATAAAGTGAGGCTGTGTTACTTCCAAGGGATCAGGAAGGCAAGTTTCACTTTTTTTTTTTACTTTTTTCTTGCTCTTTATTATTTTAGTCTTACTCCATTGCACATATGCTTCATTTCAGTTAAGCCTTGTGGTTTTCTTCCACAAAGCAAAGACTTCCAGGACTCAATCTTGCACTTCTAAACACGTTTAAGCCCTTCCCAGCTTTCTGTGACTTTAATGCAGAAGCTTGCCTTGTAATCAGCGTGGTCTAACACTGCTCAGTTTGGTGGCCAATTCAGTGGCTACCATTTGCCAAAAGTATTTGTTCCTAAGTCTTCCGTGCTTCCTGCAAGAACCATATCAGTAAAAACATGTAGACTCTGCTGTAACCAGAAAATATATCAGAAGAGCAATTAGGCAGGAACAGAGCCTGATGTCACTCTCTAGTTTCCTACAACTACTGAGTTGGACAACAGTGATCCTTGAAGCAAAGAAGCTCCTACATTTTCTGAATCACCAGTGGGATGCAGACAGTTAGCAAATAAACAGGTTATAGGGAAAGAAAACTTGACCAGTGTTAATCATTCAGCTTATACTGAAAAAATAAGGAAGTTGCCAAGATGAGTCATTTATTCACTTTCTCATTTCATGGTTCTGTTGAACAGTCTGAAGAACTATGTGCAAAAAGAAACTATGGGATTTAGACCTAAAGCAAAGTGAGAATTAAAGATGATAGAATTTTTGCTATGACTGTGCCATTACATGAGATGGATAGCATAACACAGCATCACCCGCTATGAGCTATATTAGCAAGACTGAGAACCATCAGAGCTTGATATCTCCAGGACAATATCACTCAATGCGTTAGGGTTGCTTGAAGAAAGACATCTTCTGAAGAAAGGAAGTCCTCCTATGTTCCTCACAGGACATAGTTTGTGTTTGACAAGAAAACATCTCAAAGAAACACTTTTATAAACTGAAGACAGAAGAATAGTGATGCACAGGTTAAAGAAACAGATGGAAAAGGTGAGGAGAGTCACTTCAGCCCAGCAGAGGCAAGGAAACCGTCACCACTGCATATGAAAGAGAGGACAGTTGCAGGGCGAAAACAAGACACCTTGAACACACTGACAATCTGATGTGCCAAGAAAGTAGCATGCATTCTGAGATAAAAACGTTTCAGACCTTCACTCCCCATCCAGTATTTTACAGTCAGGCTGCTGAAAACCCCTCTGTGCTACTTCACCCATCTTACAGAACTTCTAGCACCACCTCAGAATGGGCGGGGTATGGGTTTAACCCCTGTTCTATTTATCAAATTACCCATCTCAGTGATTTATTTTTTTCCCAAAAATGGAGAGTGCTTCTTTTTGAAATATTCCAGCCTCACAGTTACCCTGTACACATCGCAACTTTTAAAGCACAAGGCACCAGCAAAGAGCACAACTGCTAACAGGACCAGTAGCTGCTGGTACCCTAGAACCTGCTGCTCCTCACCCCTGCGATGGACGCTGCTCTAACCAGAGCTGCATGCAAACATACACGAAAACTGACACAGTTTCCTTCTAACAAGAAGGAACTCAGGCCAACACACAAATAGATACCCAGCACAATCCAAACAAACTCGGTTCTATACAGGGGAGACTCCTCATGCACACACCGGTTTGTTTTTGAATTCTGAGTGTCAACTGCACCGATGAGGTTTGCTAGAAGTGGCTAAAGCATAATTAAGCTGCGCAGTGGCTTTAACATAATTAATAGCAGCAATGGCTACCTCACCCAGGCACGGTTTGCGTTTGCTAGCATTAATGTCTAGGGAAACTGTAATGATAGCAATAAAGTGCTTGATCGTTTTAGCAAGCTATCATTACAGAAACAACAGACAAGTCAAAGAAACCACAAACACATGCAAACAAGCTTACCGGCAATGGAAACAGCTTCCCATTCACTTTAATGCACAAACTATTAGGGTAATTATCTTCTTGAGGACAGCTGGTCTCTGCTAGGCATAACCTATAGTCCCAAAAAGAGAAAACATTTTCAGCTGACACAACGCTCATGTGTCTCCACAAACATTAAGATTTACAACTCCTTAACTGGCCAACAAGCAGAAGAGAACACCATGAAAAAGATACCTTAGCTGAACCTGGACGGTGTAATCTCTCCTGCCCCCCGGCAAGAAGTCCCTACAACAAAGGGAAAGGAAAAGTACCTATTTAGACAGCAGTCACACAAGTGCTACGCCTAAGTCAGCACTAAGTTTTGCTTTTATTTTATAAGCTACGAACAATTCTTACAAGTGACACCTCTGTTAAGCTTTTTAAGTAAAGCATGTCTTTAGGATCACCATCTTCTGTCAAGACTTTATTGCTACTACAAAATATGATGCTGCCAGAGGGATGAAAAGCTAATTATTTGGGCTCACACCACAGTTCTTGCAAGAACATGAATTCCAGGACAAAAGATAAAAGCAGCCTTCCTTTCCTACAGCCAGGAAACACATACAGGATAAAAGCTTACCACCTAAAACGTCACAATCATTTCAAACAACAATTTTTTACTCCTCAGAAACATCAGATTTACCTCACCCGCTCTAAGTACAGTGCACAATAACTAGAGAAATAATACAGCAGCTGAATCCATCTTAAACTCTCTGAGGATTATCATTCCACACTTGCACAGTTAAGGGATGCATCAAAAAAGTAACAAACAAAAAAATCCCTTCCCACATTTTTGCAGTAGTTGCTTCTTACCTGGAAATACAGATTTCTCTGACCTGCTGAGGTGTCAAAGCAAAGATAAAAAATTTTTCTTGGAATCGCTGAATACTGCTCTGTACTAGAAAGAGAAAGAGACAGAAGAGGTTTAACCGTGCTGCCTAAAGTCAATGGTTAGAAGAGGTTCTGCAATTGAGTTTTTCCCCAAACAAGGCACAAGGCACTTATGTCCATAATCAAACTGCTGTTGAACAGCAAGTAACTGTCAAGAGGAAGGCAAAGGAACAAATCATTCATTCAGCCATACTCAGAAGTCTGAATATCACTTTACACCTCAGAACTAAAGCAGCTTGGCAAGCTGCACTGTAATCCTTGGGGGAAGAAAGATACCAACAACAAAATATAACACTGAATACTTGGAGAAAGAAATACCAGTTTACAACTATTTTATCCTACGACAGTAGGAGAATGCACACCATGAGTTTTTAATGAGCAGTGGAAAATTATTCCATGCAGAAACAGCTGTGGTAGCCAAGCACAAGATGTATGTACACTGCAATATTCGAAGCCCCAGCCCAGACCTCACACAAAAAGAATCTAAGTCCAGGTGGAACAAATACACGCACCAAATCATAAGCATGACATACTGCGTGTATATCTGCACGTGTCTAAAATGGAAATGATTTTGTTATTGAACCAAGTGTGGATCAGAGCTAAGCCCCACACCAACACCTGCACGATACAACCAGAAGCCATTTTCTCAAGGGAAAGGTGAAACCTCATGCAGCTTATTTATATCAGCTCTTTTCTCAGCTTTAGAAATGCTATGAAGAGCAAATGTTTCATTAAGGGAATCACCACATCACAGTTAATTTCTGCCATTGTACTGGATAAAGCGACCACAAGGCTGGCAGTAAATCTGGTTAACTGTGAGCCAATAGTTGGCACACTATCATCTTCCTGAATCCTGGCCCCAGCAAAGAAAGACATGGAGCTGTTGGAGGGGGCCCAGAGGAGGCTGTGAGGATGATCAGAGGGCTGGAGCCCCGCTGGTATGAAGGAACGTGGCTCACTTAGGTACAAGTCACTGCCTACAGTACTTAATTAAAAAACTGAAGCAGGGGGATGCAAACAGCTGGCAAAATGTTAAAAGCGTTTCTGAACTGTTCTACTAAATCCTTACGGAATATTTTCTACCCCTCAAGGTTGGACACTGAATTTAACTTGAATTTCAAAACAACCAAGTGATTTTCAAATAAATATACTCAAGAATGAGGTGCTTGAAGAAACTGAGATCGCAGGTTGTTGGGAAGAATGTTTTCTGCTGGCCCTGACAGAGGTGTTCCTCACTTGCATCAAATAAATTCCTCAGATCCACATTCTTCAGACCAAAAAAAATTCAAAAAAAGGAAACTCCCCCAGCTGCAAAAAGCAATTTAAACCCAGGCTTAGCACTGTCATAAGCAACAACTACTCCATGAATTCAGCAGCTTACAATGCAATTAAACACTTACCTAGACTTGTAGGCTTTATGAGTACATCAAGCACATCATAAAAAGGCAAGCTCTTCAGCTGGACGTCGGGATGGACAGGTGGGATGGGAGGTGATGGCTGCTGCATCTCAAAATGGGCCTTAGTGTCCTGAAGGAGCACGGAGCTGACGGGTGAGGACGGAGACTGAGGTGTGACCGAAGTCGAAGGGAGCGGGTGAATGCCAGCAACAGCCAGGTCAGGCTCCACGGGAGAAGAACTGCTATCCAGATTGAAAACCGCAGGCTTTATAGCTGATAAGTCTGAAAGTCCTTCAATCGTCCTTGGGTACCGACGCCTATAGAGTTCTCGGATTTTTATCTGCACTGCTGGGCTGCAGCCACTCTTCAGTAAGTGCAGAGCCCTCATTAGGAGGTCATGTTTCCGTCCACTTTTATTACGCCCAGCAAAGCCCAACAATACTTGAAGTTCAGAAACACGAAAACTTGATACCATATTCTGGAAAGAAGAATCAACGTACACATCAGTGAGCCAACAGTACACAACAGTTGGATGAAATGATCACAGCACTCTTTTCCAACCTTAATGAACCTATGATTCTAAAAAATTCCTTTCTGAGAAGCACAGTGAAGCATATCAACCTCCACCATTCTAGTTCCACCTCTGCTGCCTCAGGTACGACCCACACCTCACCCACAGAGAGAGCATGACTTGCTTAAGGCAAGGAAATCACATATCTGGGAAGGGTGAGTTCAATTAGAAAACTGATGCTGAAGACTATTCACTTTGTTATCCAATTTCCATGTGGAAATTGGATAACAAATGAACCACAGACTTCACAAGCAGAAAGATTCTCATACAAAAATAAAAAGTAACACTACCCAAGAGAAAGCACTCCTCTCCCTGGATTAGTACAAATCAGTAGGGTGGCACAGACGTATCACTCCCATTTTTGAAAGGAAGCTTTCTTTTCAGAGAAAAGAAATCAAGAATTCTCCTTTGCTTCCTACTTGCAATGAAAACGTAAAATTCTGAAGGACACGGAACACCTGGCTTTAATACAGCTGTACTGTACCAGTCCTGCACTCAAGGACTGACAGATGAAGGACTGGACATTAGGTATCAAGCAGTACTCATCTGCAACCATGATGCAGATGTAAGACTTGTTTAGCAGAGCCCTTTTAGCTCTTAATTATGGTCCAGCTGACAGTACTTAGAGTTTGAGGCACTGATTTTAGGAGAAGTGTAAGCCTTGAAGTGCAGTACTTTGTGTTTATCTTCCTTTACTGCTACAATACAGTTCATAACCATGTACTCCAACATGAGTTGATCTTAACTAAAGACTGAACATGTGCTACAGCTGTGCCTCCACCACCAACACAAGCTGCAACTCGCTATGTGCCCCGTTGCTTGCTCTTCATTTTCACCTTAACATCACTGCAGGTGAAAGCAGTGTCACATCCAGCGTCAAGTGGCTTATCCCAGCTTTGAAGGAACAGAGATACCGAAGAATTTACTGAGAACTTCACACTGACTGCATAAATAGACACACGAGTTCGACAGCACCATCACCTCCTTCCCTCAGATGGAGACAGTAAGCGAGATTCTGGATTCCATCACCAGAATGCAAATGAACAAAATAATCCTTTACACTGAGATTAAGGGAATGGCCTGTCTTGCAAAATACTTCTCATTAACCCGACTGCTGCATTCTGTGTGCTCCTGTGCATTCCACCATTAATCAAGGTGAAATGTGCAGTCAGTCATGCCTTAGAACACCTAGCATTTTATGGGGAAGTTCCACAAAGCAGCATTTTGTTATGAGTTGGATTTCATTTCATTAGAAGATGCAGGCTGGGTTCAGTATCACAGTCAGCAAGATTTTAAATCAACACCTCCATTAAAGTGCTTGGGAGTTTAAAAATTACATAGTTACACAGTAACCACAAGCATGAAGACACAACTAATCTCATCCACATTGTTTAGCTTATTATCCCCTTTACAGATGTATCAAAGCAGTGCTTGTTATAATCAACATGCTTTTACAAAGCATAACATGTGTTTAGGAGCACTTCTAATCACGGTGCAGGGCAGATATGCAGCAAACGCTCCCAGATTATTTTCTTGTGGGGTTCCAGCACTGTTGCAGAAGCCTGCAGCCTAGCCAGTAACACTCTTTTCACATCACTGCATTAAGGTGAGACACTGAAGTTGTGCCACACACAAACCATCAATTTGCTCTTGAAAGAAGTTCTTTACAGCTGCACAGCCCAATAAG